CTCTTACTATGTTGAATCTGATATCTCTGTGAGAAACTAACAATTACATTAATCTTATAAAAGATAAAGTATTTGTTCAGTTTACTTATACTTTAATTTTTAAAACAAAGTGAATATTTTGTGCTACTTTTAATAATTTATCCTTTGAAGTTACTTCAAACTAAAAGTTACTTTCAATTTCAGAATAGTTTTGCAAACACAACTGCCACAGAGCTAATAACTGAGAAATTATTAAAAAAGTAGTCAAAGCGATTTGCAGCTGAGGCTTTGTCGCAAATCGAATGCGAAAATTCTGAAAAAATTTGTTAATATTCGTAAAATACTGTCTAAAAACTAATCTCTGTTAGATTAAGTGTACTTGCAAGCAAGCAAGTAAGTAAAATAAATGCGCAAACAAAAGTTAAGCAATCCAAAAATTAATCATAAAACAAAATTCATTTTGCAAAGTTTACTTTAACTTTGCTTGCTTTTCACGCAAATTTACTTCAAACATCTATGCTAACGAGAAGAAGTTTAGCAATTTTCTACAGCCTTTTCAGATGAGACTTTACTCTAGGCATATGAAAAGAAACAAAAACACCAAAAGCAATCAATCAAATTTAATTTAAAATATTCTGGATTGCCTATAATAGTTAAACGACATCTTAGCTGAAAGTATTTTTACGTTTACTTTCGTTTTTAGCATAAACGTTTTTCTTAGCCAATAAAAATAACAGATTCAAGCAAATCAGAAAGCTTTTTTGTTTAGCACAAAACGCAGTTTTCGATTTGTAAGACAAAAAATTTGATCCTTCCCAAACTCTTCCAAAAGTATTTCTTCTGCTGCTTATTTTCTCATTTTTGATGAAAAACCATTGCTAATTAGCATAAATATCATTGCAAATATGCTAATACTTTATCATTTTTATTGCTGAAAACAAGTTTTTTGATTTGTAGCAAGTATACTCCAAAATTTCTCAAACGTGTGTTAGACTTATGTTCACAAATTAAAGTGCTTAATTTCTTTGCTTAGAGAAAAGCTTTTTTAATTAAAATTATTTTTATCATTTTGTTGTGTTCAGTTATGAAAATGTGTAATGTTTGCGAGATATGATAAAGTGGTAAAAATGCTGGAAAATCAAGTAGCGCTGAAATTATTTTCAGCTTCTAATTATTTTTAGGATGATTTTTAATCGCACAGATGGAAAGTAATACTTTCAAGTAGAAATATGCTGAATTAAAATTGTATTAAAGGTCCAAAGTAAGAGAAAATGTATAAATAAATTTAAAGAGTAAATGTGCACAAATTCATTGTGATAAGCAATAGCAGTTGTTATTAAATATAATTTCAAGTAAAATATTTGCCCTCCATATGTGAGCATATAAATATGCAAATTAGAAATCATAATTAAAAATATTTATATATGTATTTAGTCAATTTGTGTAAATATTTGAAAATTTTTAGTCACTTATTTAATTTATGCTTAAAACTAAAGCAAAATTATAAAATTTTCAGATTTATTTGTCAACGATAATTATGATTAGAGACGTAATTCAGATACTAATTAATAAATGTAAACAAATAAATGGTAATTAAAGAATGCTCTTATTGAATTATTTTATATATGTAATTATATTTTTCAAAATATAGCAAGTTTTGATTAAAATTTTTTGCTTTCATGTTATTCAGTAATTTGCATTTTCAAATCAAATTGGATTTGAAATCAAATACAATACAACTTTTTTTAAACATATTGACTTTTAAATATTCACAAGTTTCTCATTTTAAAAATTTTCACTTATGCTAAAAACTTTTCTTTCAGTAATAAAAATAGGAAATTGATATGTGGCAATATAATATTCAGGATAAAATAAATGAAATATATGGGACAATGAGTCTAAATCCTTTGAGACTTAACAATGATAAGCAAGCAAGCATACTTCGTCCCCGCTCAGACTTATTATTTTTCACCCTTAAAACTTATAATTTTTAATCAATACGTATAATATAACTTTAACTTATATAATATTTGTATAATATGCAAATCAAATAATACTCGAATAATTGTTCTATAATTTTGTACTTCATTTAAAGCATTTACTTTTGAAGATGAAAAAAGGCACATTTAGTTATAATTTACTTCAAAAGTAAATCTTCAAGCAGTTGTGTATTTACTTCAAGCAGATCTAATCTTTCTGCAGTTCTAAGCCTTATTTGTATTTGTTCTTCATAACAGATGCTGATTTCTGAAATTTTAAGCAAAAAATTGTTAAAACAATGAAATAAATGTATTTTGAATAAATACGTGATGTTATTTAGCAATCTGCATTTTTAAATTAAATTTTAAATCAAATACTTTTTTTTGTACGCAAAGCTAATAAAAAACTCGAAAAAAATCATTTTATAATCTTTTTTTGCAATTTCAGTTAATACTTTAAATATATTTTATATTTCTACAAATTTTTCTTTGATCAAAAAATAAATTAATTACTTATTAAAATTATCAAAATCAAAATATGCATATTTTCACTACATGTAATGCAAATTTTCTCCTGAAATTCAGTGTTTTCAGTACAATTTTTGATTAATAATAATATTAGTGCGATCAAAATTCACTCTTCTATTAAAATATATATTAATAATATAAGATTACAGTTATCAAAATTTACATAAATTGACAGTAAGCAATGAGCGCAAACAACTCTCTCAACAAAACAATTTTCATAGCAAAATATTGACTGAAAGTGAGTTTCAGTTTTACTAAAAATATTTAGCAGATTCTTTTCCCACTTTTTATTGTTCAAAAAATGAAGCAGATTATTCATTTTGGGAAAATGTTTTCTCAGTCACTTCACAGTTTTCAATTTTCAAAAGCTAATTGATATTCCTGCTTCTAAACAGTCAGCTACAAATTTATTAATAAAACAATATTATAATTTTTATTATAGTCGAAATTTGCTTCATTAAGTGAGCTAAATTCGATGCATAACTTTATCATATCCATAGCAATTTTATCACTAATTAATGACATTTATAGATTTGTATATTAATTTGATTGAATTTAAATATACTTTCGAATTTTTCTAAAATAGTTGGATTCTTGAAATTTATTCTTAATGTACTAATCATCATTTAAACCAAAAATCATCATCTGAAGCTATTTGAACTTGTTAATTTATGTTACTATTGACACGATTTAATAATATCTATTAACAAAAAGTTGTTTTTCACAAGTTATCTACTAAATTTGATTAGTCATTTCTATTTGAAATCAAATAAATGATATTTATCGCCAATTACGATCCAGTTGTAATATTTTTGCTGTAGCTAATCTTGCCGCGATAAATTATCATGATAATATCAATCAATAATTCAATATTACATTGTATAGTTCAATGATTAAACCATTTCTTCTATTTTCTTTGCATTTGACAATTATTTAATAGTTAAGTTTTTCTCAATTTAGCAATAATAATTATATTTTTTAAAAACGATAATTTATTTTCAAAGTAAATTTGTAAAAAAAACTGACCTTTTTTGGAAAAATAAAACTAATAAATTGATCAGTGAGTTAGAAAATTATCGATTGATTCTGATCATAAATTAGCACAAAATTTAATGTGTCAAATATTTTAAGCCATTAAATCGCTGCCATAATAATATTTGAAGCAAATATGAAAATTTTATTTTATTTGCATAGTTTGAAAGTGTGCTGTTTAGTCTTAGCTTATCAAATGTTTCAATCAAACGTGTGCTTTTCTTTTACGCTTCTCATTTCTCAAATTTAACTCTATTTACAACGATTAACGATTATATTTTCCACTAACTTTCCTATACTTAACCGTTGATCAGTACTTTCTATGCAATATTTATTAAACAACTCAGTGCTTTTTGGAATGAAAAAATTTTCTCGTCAACAATTATTATTATTTTTATTAATAAATTTGAATAAGTTTTTTAGTATTCAAAACGAAATTTATCAGTATTTTCAGCATGTGAAACTAGCTGATATGTTGTCATTAATGCAAAAAATTATCAAACTTTTGTTTAATTTGAAAGTTATTACAAAAAAATATGTGTTACAAAACTGATCTCGGCTAAATTTAATTTGAATAATATTTTTGTATTTAATCTTTTTCATCTTTTGTAACTTTTTTGTAATTAAGCCAATTTGTAATGAAAAAATTTTTGCTTTGGAAGTAATTTCATATTTACAAATTAATTAATTTTGAACAAGAAAAAAAATGATAACTAATTGTTAAGTTACGAGTTATCTCACTAAATGTCCCCATCCATACTGAAAGATAAACCGATAATTTGCAGAATTACTCAATGGTCAACGAATCAGCTATGGGTCAAAGAATCTATCACGTTTATATTTGATCTTCTTTTATGAATTGCAACAAACAAAATATTCCCGAACTTATCACTTTCATGGAGCACAACGAGACATTAAACCTGTAAGTGATAAGGTCCAACATAATTTGTGATGAAGTATGAAATTTTTTAGTAACAAATTTTTTTGGCTTAATTAGGGCAATTGATAATAATTTAAAGTCTAATTAAGCAATTAAAACAAATAAAAATTTTAATTTCTTGCAAAAGGTAATATCTAAGTTAGAGTTTAAGCTAGCTTAAATAAATAATGCATGCAAAATTTATAAAATAACAAAAACACAATAAAGAAGAAAAATTAATTGGTATATTGAAAATATTGTATTCATAAAAGTATTGCATTTTTGGCATGAATTTCGAGAAAGTTAAAAAAGCATTAAATTAAATATTATTGCAAAAAATACTTTTTTTCATATTAAAGTTAATATTAAAGTAATTTCTGTTGTGTTAATAATAACTTTACTGTTTCAGAAAAACTATGAAAACTTGTCTACAGTAAAAAATAGAATTTAAAAAAATAAAATTGTTTAGTACAAAAGTTTTCAGCCAAAAAACTGCGTTGAAAAATTGAATTTGATAAAATGTGTTATTTTACAAATTTAATAAAATTTACAGATGTACAAGAGAATTCTATAATAGTCGCACAAGAAGAATACAACTTGACGACCGTATTGTTTACTTATTCCAATACAGTCAGTTTAATTACAATAATCAAACTGATAGTTTATTAACATTCAAAAATGAATAAACGTAAATTTTATGTCAACGTTGTTGTGCTTTGAAGGTACGAAAAGTTGACTAGTGAATTGTAAAAAAGTCTAATTTAACGAGAATTATTCAATAAAAATCATTCAAACATAAGGTTTTATTAATTAATAAAACAGAATAAATAGTAAAATCTAAAAATAGCATATTGACAAAACAACCTTTCTGTGTATTTAAAAAATGTTAAATATTTAAAATACACAAAATTGAATTGATATATAATATTCTGAATGCATTTGCAGTAGGCAATTTTGTTATTATCTTTTTCTAATATTTACAATACTAAAATATTAAAATATTTCATTATTGTCATTCCCACTTTGAATTTGAATTTAATTAACTACTATGAAAGGTAATTAAATGAAAAAAAAGCTTAATTTGTAGATAAAGCAGACGATGATGAAGAAGTGATAGGCTGGCGAGAATTAAAATATTTGGTATTTATTGATAAGTCTGATTTTAAAAATAAATGGAAATCGATGAAATATTTGATATACTTTTATTGATTTATAACTTATCAAGGTAAGGAAACAAAGTCAAGTTGACAAGTATTTCTTTCAGAGGGATAGCCATCAGTGGAATGTTATCCGCCATCCGATGGTGCTGAATTTTTTAAACGAAAAACTTCTTCTGCGAGCTTATTTTTACGCTGCGCATATTGTGGCGTATTTTTCATTCTTGCTTTTATTATCGAGTTATATTTTTGATAAAAGCAATTTTCAAGATGTTTTATCGACTTTATTTCTTCTTATTTTTGGATTTTGCTTGGTTTGTTTGTTGAATTATTCATTTTTATAACAAAATATTTTACTAGTAATTGACTAATTTGAATTTGAACTAATTTGAATTTGATTGATTTAGCGCTGAACTCTTAATTTTCAATAATTAACCAAAGTTTCATAACAAATAAAAGAAATATTTTTAATCATTTGGTAAAGCTCAATGGTTTTCTTCAATAAGTACTTTTTTAATTTGCTTAAAATCATTTTTAAAATTTTTTATCAGACAAATTACTGTAATATAATTATCTTGTAATATTTTTATTTAGATTCACTTTAACAAAAAATTAACTTAAAAGTTACTCTGTATCAAACTAGAGCTAAGTTAATGCAACCAATTCAGTATAATGGTATCAATCAGGAACTGTTTATCCGTAGCACAGTAACAGTTAATTTCATATTTCATGCGTGAAATAAATGACTGCTACCGTTAAAATTTTTGCAATTTTGCTAAATAATTTAAGCAATAATTAATAATAATAATAATAATAATAACGATAATAATAATTTTTGAGGTAGTGAAAGGTGCGATAAAGTTGCAAGCAGGCCCAATTAATAAATGGTTTATACTTTCATATTCATTTAATATTATTACATATATTGCCACTTTTTTGTTCATTTGGACACCTTTGCTATTTTCTTACGACGATTACAACCACGATTTGAAGGTTTTACTATGATCTTTTTGCTATTTTACTTTTGATAAGCGATTATTATTGAAAACTTTGTAAAATTTGACATAAATTTTTATTGTGCAAACTTGTTAATTTTCTGAAAACTTTCGTCGATTTTCAAAGCTGACTTAATTTGCATATAAAATTACAAAAATACAGTAAAAATTAAATAATTGCAGCACTTTATCACTTGGCTATTACCAATCATCGCTATTATCTCCGCTTGGGTTAATTTTTTGTACATTCTCAGAAAGTCACCTTACGGCATTTATATTCTAATGCTCTCACGAATTTTGTACTCATTTTCGCAGGTTACTCTTAAAACGATAGCCTTAATTTGAATAATTTTCAATTAAAATTTTAGAGTTATGATTTTTAAATTAAGTACCTGAAATATAGGATGAATGAATAAATCACTCATGTTGCACGAGAGGTATGTAATTTTTAGATAATAATTCTTTGAATCTTTCTTGTTAATAATATCATTTCCAATATTTTTTACATTCATTTGCCAATGCAGAACAAATACAGATATTAGATAATTTAGTTCATTTGGTCATTAATATTGTAATTTGCACAATGAACGCCATAATTAAATCCCTTTACTCTCCAGGTTTTATAAGTTCAAGCAACAATTGAACTTTATAAGCAAGTAAATTTTATAAAATAGCAAAACTTTTGTAGAATTTAAAGATAATAATTGATGAACGCGATCTTAGGTAATAAAAAAACTAAATCTTGGTGACCTTAGAAAATGGATGCAATTTTTCATTTTAAATTTCAAATTTTATTCTATTTGCTTTCTACTTTTTCAATTTTCAAACTGTTATTAACAGATATTTGGGATACATATTTAAATATCTTAAACTTGTGACTGATAACTTTTCATTATCAGTGAGTAAATGATAGTTATAGCTATGTTGATAAAATGTTTAGCATTAATATTATCGCAAATACTTTTTTAAAAAATGAGCTTTTTCGGTAATACTAATATTAAAGATCATAATTATGGATAGGACTACTACTAATAATAATTCTGTTACTGATAGTAAAGAATTGAAAAATTTATATGGTAGATTGCGATAATTTGGGTACCAACGCTCCTTGCATTTGCATTTGCATTTCATTTAGTGATGCGTAACAGTGGCCAAGAACCTTGGGAAGCTACTGAAGTGGTATACTATTCAATTACTTATATTAACAATACAATTTTCTATTTTACCACTTTTTAATTGCTTATCAAAAAATTTGCATATTTCTGCACAAAAAAGTTTGTGTTTGAATCAGAAATTGTAGAAATTATTTAATGCGTTATATTTTTTATTTTTTATTTTTTTGCAGTTTTCGCACAATGCAACAGTATCACAAAAACTTTTAATGATACTCCAAGCCATTACCAAAACATCTGCAATGATGATTGGTTAGCTAACATCATTTTAAACGTGAGAACAACGTGAAATTTAGACTTAGAGGAATTTGATCATCTTAATTCAGTTTAAACATATATCGTAAAAATTAAAATATGATTGAATATGAAATTTTTTTAGCATAAAATTTGAGATAGTTTAATTTATAACCAAAATTTATAACTTAGTTAATGTTATTGGTTTTACCATCTGATAAGAATAATATCAGGATTGTTTTAAGCTGATTGCATTTTATTCATTATTGTATTCTGAATTTAGTAAAATTTCATAAAATTATTTTAGATTTAATAATTAAAAAGTTATTTTACATTTAAAAATATACCATTAGTTTTCATTTTACAATTAAATTTTGCAGTAAAATATCACAAATTTTCTGTCAAAATATGACAATTTGATTTTAAAGCAATTTAATTTATGCGTGATGATTGAAGGTGAAGTTGATGCTGACAATGTGTTGGAACGGAAGGAATGGATACCAAATTTTCTTCTTCTTGCATTTGAAATAACCACTGTTATTCTTTTAATGAATTTAATGGTTTGTAGTTTAACTTCAAATTTTTTATCAGTACTTTTAAGTTAATCTTTTATTATGCGCAAGTTGCAGATATCGTTAGCAGTTGGAGATGTGAACGAACTTCGTCAAACAGCTCAGCAAAAACTTCTTGACATAAAAGTTTCATTTTGCTTAATATTTTAATTTTTTAAGTACTTTTAATTTTCATGTCTTTGTTCTTTTTTTTTTGCTGTTTGTATATCGTTTTTGCTAATAATTAATTGTATTATTACATTATATCAAAAATAATCATTGTAATAATTCAGCTTGAAAAAAATCTAAAGTATTGAAAAAGTACGACAATAAAAACTTTGTTTCCTGAAACCAGCGTAGCAAATTTTTATTAAAAAAAGCATGACTTAATAGAGACGAGATTCAAATTTATCCTACTTCACTATTTCAGATTAATTTTGCAATTGAAACTTTGCAACTGTCAGAGTACTGTGATTGTCTGTCAAGCTATTTTGATATGCTTCATCATACACAAACTAATAATGTACTTGTTATCTACAATGATGGCAATACGTCTAGTATGTGGATGAACGTGAGATTTGATGGTACTCAATATTTATACTCTTTCTATCCGTTGTGATTCATTGCTGTAACAAATACACGTAATATTTAGCTTACTGTCAAAATAGAAAGAAAAGACATCATGGTTAAATAAACAATTCTCATTTTTATGAAACTATTTTCATCACTTATATCAAATTATTTAATTAGTTTTATCACTTAAAGATTTATATTAAATTATTGAATTATTTTTATCCCCTAATCACTTATATCAAATTATTGATATAGTTGTATAATCTGATCCTAGATCTCACCGTATCAAGTTTAAATCCTTTCATTACTATAGTTATTTTCTGAATTATGCTGGCGTCATTGTTATTATTTATCATATGATGTAATAAACAGTAATAAATTCTCATCACTTACTATCTATTATATTACATTTTTACCACTTATTTATGAGTATTGTTTAATATATTATATTCCCTGCCATTTAATTATTCTTTACTTGAATTTCAAAGCATTAATTAATTTCAATCCAGTGCAAAATCAAATAATACAAATAAAATTTTCATTTTAGATGAAAATAAATTGAATTTATGTGAGCGAAATTCTCTTCCAAAAGCAAACGAAAGTGAAACAGTTCTTTACAGGTAATTAATTAATAATTAATTAATATAGCTATTATTATTATTAATAAATCAATAATTGAGATTATTTTTGACAAATAATGAATAAAATAAGCATTTTGATCGCTACAAGTGAAAAATTTTTGTAGAACTTTTGATGGAATACCTTTGAAAACTTTAACTTCTGGCAGTGGCGAGACTGAAGACGAAAATGCGAATGGAGAGCGTCAAAGAGATGAAAACAGGCAAAAACTAATGCATAATGTTCGATTTTCTAATTTTAACTTTTAATTATTACTTTTTAGTAAAGTTAATTCAAAGAATTGGAACATACTGAAAGACTCATTCAATGACCAAACGTGCAAAGGGTACCTTCCAGTGGGCTGCGGAATGATTACATTGAAAAATTGAAGATTGTTCCAATTTTTTTGTTATAAAATAAAAGTGCAAAAGTTTTATTTTTTTAGGTATATCATTTGCAATTTCCGTCAAATGATCGACGAATGCGTCTTTTAAAACGTGGAATATCAGGTCGAGCAATACAAATTACTTTAGATGGAGCTTTAGTACAATTAATTGAAAGTATAGAATCTGGAATTGCACCCTTCCAAGGTACTGTAAATGGCCGGTCGTATTTTAAAGCTGATAATACTGCTGAAAGTTATGGAAGGAAGTTTGCTTCTTGGCTTCTTGGCTTAGATTGGCAAGAATTGTTACAGCTTTAAGTAACTTTTGTAAATATCACATATCTTCTTTGTAGATATGTAAAAATTTGTATTTCAAATATTGTCAAAGTATTTCAATGTGCTTAGAAATTTGGGACAATTTTTGAATAAAATTGTTTGCAAATTTCATCAACAAAGTAAATTGCAACAAATACCATTCAAAAATTTTTATGCTTTCGAGAATTCTTATCAATTTTGTTACGATTGCTTCATTTTTGTATTGTTTTGTATTACTGTTTCAATTTACTCATAAAGAATGTACAGTTTATAATAATGTTTTGCTTATTCTTTAATTTTTGTACTCTAAATAAAAGTTTTTCAAACATAACATGCAAAAAAAGCAGATAAAAAGCAACGGCTTAGGCAGAAAATGCATGGGAAGAAATTGTCCAGCGATATATAATTATATCAGAAAAGGTTTGAAGAATAGTATTTACTTTAAGTAAAAAATATTTAATAAATAAATAAATAGTGAAATTGATCCAAAAACTGAAAGGTATTATATTCAGTCTTTTAAACTTCAGCAACTTGCATTTATTAGAATACGCTTGTTTATTACATACTTTATCTTACTCATAGCAGAGCGTTTAAAACGTAATTATTATATTTAAACAGTTTTGATGATAAAAGTTATTTTTTGAGAATCTCTCTAAAATATCCTCACTTATTCATGAATTAAATATAACTAACAAGGAATTATAATTTCACAGTTATCACTGCTTTTTTAGCGAAGATATCAACGTAGAATTATTTTTGCTGGTACATAAATTTATCAATAAAAGTTCGTAGTTTATCATCAAATTTCCATTCGAATATATATTTAGTAAAAGTTTTGTTCTTTTTAATTTGTATTCTTTTTCAAATTTAATTTTATTTGAGATAAAAATGATTGCAGTGTTGTTTTCAGTCAAGTTTTGGACGATGTGTTAAGAGCAAGCAGCTTTATTTATATATTTTTTAATTAAAATAAACCATTTCATGTAATTAAATTTCTGATTACTCTTATAAATTAAATTTGAAATGTTGTTGTATTTTTAATTCAAAAATTACGTTATAAATCAAGTAAGAAAGGGAATGAGAAGTGGAAGTTTGCTAAATCCTCTGAGAATTTTATACAAATTGATGTTGATAGCTTTAATTTTAATTAGGAAAATTAATTTAATATTCGTGATATTATTTAAGGATTCTTTTATGAATTAAATTATAAATGCTTTATTTTGTGTATTTTAATTATTTCAAAAATTATTTATTGTGATTTTATGCTTGATCATGTCGTGGAAATGCAAATGATTGACAATTCTGTGGCAGTGCAATAATTAAATTATAATTTTAAGAAGGATACAAACGTTTGCTGAGCAATGCATCGAATATTTTTCTGACAATTCAAAAATTTATAAAATTATAAAATTTAGACTGCAATGTTAAGCGTTCAAAAAATTTGTCTTTTTCGCTTATTGTTTGACCTTTTCAATGCTGTGTTGACCTTTTTGTTTCGCATTTCATTCATCAAAACAACAATAAGTTCAGCTCTTATTTTTGTATTCACATTTCCATTATTCTTCAATAGAGTTTTTACTAAACCATTTCGAAGTAAAATTATTTTTTCACTGTATTTTTCCAATTTGATATTTAATACTTGAACTCGTGAATTCTTATTAGTATTATTATTCCTAAATTTTTATCATTTATTCATTTGTTCATTATTATATTAAATATAACGTAATTTTCATTAAATACAGCTTAATTTCAAGGAATTTCTAAATTAAAATCCGTGATTCACGTGATGAATTTTTGGAAAGACTTGCGAAGAAAATTCCGTAGTATAACTTTTCTTTCTGATATATGTGAATCACAATAGACTGTTTGTACGACTTGTAAAATTATTGTAATCATAAATACAGTTTATGTGAGTATCTCTTTTGCCTAATTATGATAGATCAATCATTGATTCTCGATTGTCTAAAACATAAATTTTTGAAATTTTTGCTGATTTTTTCAATCAATCGTTAAAAAACCTATAAAATATTTTTGCAATAAGGACATTCTTGACTTAAAAATTGATGTTTAAAATTGCTGCATTATTTCAATTGAAGGGAAAAAATATATAAAAATGTGGATTAGTGCTGTGTTTCGAATTATTGAACATTTTTCAACAATAAAATCACCATTTCTGATTAATGGAATTTTTATTGGTAGATTTTAGTACGAATTGTACAATCAAAATAATGCAGAAATGCTTCAAAACAAGAATTTAACATCCAATACAAATAATGTCAATTAATTGCATTTAATTTGAATAAGTTTTTTAATGCTATTTTTGATTTTATATAATTTGGATAAGTTTGTAATTGTGCAATTATTTTTGCTTTGTTTTGATTGCAAAATTTATGATAAAAAATCTAGCAGTTAGACGTATTTGTGTGTTAAATATATGCAAATTTTAAAATATTTAAAAAATTTTTTCAACAAAGAAATAATTTCTGTTATTTCTACCCAAAATAGTTATGCGTAATAAAATGTTGATAGTATAAAGTTATGCAGATCCATATTAGTTTATTTAATAACTTTTACATAGTTCATAAGTGATCTTTCTACAGGAAAATAATTGTAATGCAGATTCATATTGGGCCGTTTAATAATTTTTACGTAATTCAGAATTGATCTTTCCATGTGGAAATAATTGTAAAGACGTCACCTTAATTAAGAAAACGTGAAACTGATTTAAATAATTATGTAATGCATTTAGGAATATTTTTGTATATTATTAGCTGATATCAAGTACAATTAGTATTATTGAAGGTATTTTTTACAAAGTGTGTAGTACAAAAACAGCTCAAATAGAAATTTTTGCAAAATGGAAAAAAAGTGCTAAAAAAGTGTTAAGCTAAAAAAACCCAAAAATTTGCTTAGTTTCAGGTCAAACACTTAAGAAATTCATTTCTATCTGATTATTATTCATTATAATAAATAAGTGAACTGAATGTAAAAGTAAGCAGATAATATGAATGCATGTTGTCCTAATTAAATATTAAACGAAAATTGATCTCCGTTCACGGAACTTAAATAAAAAACGATAAAACACAATGATAATTCTTGCAAACGTAAAAAAATGAGTTGGTAATATTACTTCTAAAAATTAGATGTAATTTTTAGTTATAATTATCACTATTATATTACAGAAAGTTTTTGATATATTTGCATAATAACTTGCAGACTTATATAAATATACCTGAAATAGGCAGTTATGATCATTTCAATTATAACTAAAACAATAAAATTACATTTTTCAAAAGTAAATTAGTTTACTATAGTCAGTAATGGAATAAATTACAATCATTTTCGGTAATTTCGGTAGCTAATTATTATAGCAGTAAATAATGGGATGCAATTTCCAGCAAATGATTATATAAAGAGATAATAGTGATGAACAGATGCGAGCATATAAATATAGATGAAATAATTGGGATTTTGTATGAAATATTATGAGCGATCAGTAGAATCCCATTGGGGTCATTCACTGCACCCTTTTATAGTCAGTCTTCTTGCATTAGTTCCCCTTATAATTTTCGTTTTTTTAATTTTTCAGAGAAAAAGTTCATTGGAATTTGCTAGCTTCATAAATAAAGTTTAGCTTAGTTCAGACTAGACTAGACTGGCTGAGTTAAGCTTAGCATAATTGAAAAAGAGCAGTTATTGAAAATTAACAGCTGACTGAAGGAGAAAATATTTATGAAAATAAATGCCTTTGAAGTTGTAAGGCACTTTTCATTGTGATTGAAGTATTAAAAGTTTTAATCACAATAATGGTAATTAATAATGATAATTAATCATAATGATAGAAAAATAATACTGATAAATGTGCATTAGTGATGATTTTGTTGATAAAATTGATTAAAAGAACCACAATTAAAAAATAATTTATTATAACAAATTACTATTTTTTATTTGCAATATCACAATAGCAGAACTGAATTAAATGATAAACTGGCGACTGAAATAATAACTATAAATGTGAAACTAGTAAAAAATCAGCTGACAATAGAAATGCCTATTAGTAATAATTATTGTGTTAATGATAAAAGTTATATTTATTTTTTCAATTTGTTAACATTGATAAAAAATGATCAAATGTTAAAGTGTGAATTGTGCTAAGATTGTAAACGAATACAAAGTAATATAAATTGAAATACTGTAAATAAGAACTAATTATTCAAACAACTTCTTTTAATGCATTAGTTACCAATTTTACTTTTATCTTGTTACTGTAAATAAGTAGTTTTAAGTAGCTATCATCTATCTATGTGCATGCTTAGCTCTATAAAAGTCGTAAAACCTTGTAATTAATGCCGTAAAATCTTATAATTAAAAACAAAATAAGTAAAAACACGATCGTGCTTTTTTGAGCTTTGGCAAGCTTAAAATTACTGCATTTTAACCAGTGCTTATCATTTTTCAATTTTTTGAAAATGGAAAACTTCTGATTAAACTTTAGCTAAATTTCTTTTACTGATCAGTCTCGAAAGATTTTTGTTAAGTTAGGCTAAAGAATTGAATCTGATTCATTGATAGAGCAGATATTTTTCACTTCTTAGTTTTACTTTAAACTTGTTTTTTTGAAAAAACAAAACAAGCAACAATTTTTTTGGCACTCTAAGAAAAACTATTATGATAGGGTAAAGGTCAAAAATTGCACTTAATTATAAGGTTTTACGTTTTTGTAAGGCTGAAACATGTACATAAATGGATTATGGCTATTTAAAACTTTTCTTTTTTAAAAATTTCCTGAAAGTTGATACTGATTTGGCATGAACT